AGCGCCAGCACTACTGCCGCGCTCGGATCTGCTGATACGATACCGTGCCGGTAAAACCGGATCCGGTGGTGGTGGTGCAGCACCTTGGGCGGTGCAGGGCATGCGCCGCCAAGCCAGGGTACGCGCATGACGCGGCACGGCGGCAGTGCACATTATGTCGGCGCGTAATATCTCCACATTGGGAATTTCCAACCAGGCATGAAGCACCGACTGATCCTCCGAACACTGTTCTGAGCAGACAGCACACACCCGCGAAGGCATGCGCCGACGCAGCGCGGCAGCCATGCTGCTAGCAAGATGCAGGTGTTTTTCGTATGGTACCTGCCGCTCCACCGGGAGTTCTCCGCCGGGCAAATCCTGCACACGCCCTTCCGGAATCACCTCCAGAAAATCAGGCAGCCGAGGGTGCTGGCTCTCGTGCAAGGAGGGAAACCGCATGAGGTCCCGCAAACGCTCAAGCAAGCTGGCTTGCGGAGGCTGTACGGTATGCACCCGAGCATGGGCCTGTGCATGTGCAGCGGTGTTACGCCGCTGCTCCACAGCCCTGTACTCCGGGTCTTGGCGAGCAGCAGCTCGTGCAGCAGTGTTAGACCGCTGTTCCGCAGCCCTGCGCTCTGGGTCATGGCGGCGCTGTTGCTCCGCAGCCCTGTACTCCGGGTCTTGACGGGCAGCAGCTCGTGCAGCGGTGTTCCGCTGCTGCTCCGCAGCCCTGTACTCCGGGTCTTGACGGGCAGCAGCTCGTGCAGCGGTATTCCGCTGCTGCTCCGCAGCCCTGTACTCCGGGTTTTGACGGGCAGCAGCTTGTGCAGTGATGTTCTGCTGCTGCTCCACAGCCCTGTAGTCCGGGTCTCGACGGGCAGCAGCTCGTGCAGCCATGTCCTGTTGTTGTTCTGCAGCCCTGCGCCCCGGATCCAGATGAGCATTCTGCATCCGGGCTGCATCTGCGCTGAGGTGCGTGTTCGACGCTCTTGTCCCTCTAAAATGAAACCCGCCGCCCAGTGTACCCAGGCGCTCACGACTGCGTGTCCCAGTCCGCTGGGGTGAATCATTCCGTCGGTCCACCATAACTGACAGAAGCTGTTTCCGGTGCTAATACCGTGCGTGGAGATAAGTAATCCGGGTGCGATATATATGCAATACAATCCTACAGTAGCGAACCGACTCCTGTAAAGAGCCCAGCTTCGCAAAAGGCCGTCAACTTATGTTGGCGGTGCCACCGACTAGTTTACGGCCGCCGGCTTTCATGTGATTCAGTGCTGAGCCGTAGTACCATACATGAAGAGAAATAAAGCAAAAGTGTATGTCTGCGATGCAATCCTACTGTAGCGAGCTGATGGCCGTGGACAAGTTCATTCCACAAAAGGCCGTACAGTTTACGCGGACAACATTGGACAACCGCAGATGCACACTTCGGCGCGCTCCTCATCCATCGCTGAATTGTGCGGTGAACCGCGCATTTAATTGTGCGGTTCGGTGCACGTTGAATTGTGTGTTGAATTGTGCATCGAATTGCGCATCGAATTGCGCGTTCAATTGCATGCTTCGGTGCGCGTTGAATTGCGCGTTGAATTGCACGTTTAATTGCATGTCGAGTTGTGTGGTGGGTTGCCCGTTAAAATGCGCGAGTCGACGCATGTCAAATTGCGCAGTGCGGTGCAGTGCGGTGCGGTGCGCTGCATAACGAAAGGAAAAAAAACGACGACGACGGGAAGCGACCGGCGAGCTGGACTCCCGCGGCGACGAAGCTAGCGCTCCCGAACGAAAATCACAAAAGCAAGACGCGCGGGCGTCGGGATCGAGCCGGCGACCGCGGCTCCCACACAGCGACGGAGCCAGCGCGCACCACGAAGCGGTGCGCGGCGATGCTCCGGAGCGCATTGCGCGGGCTCAGGTGTGGTGCGGTGCGATGCGGTGTGGTGCGGCGCGGTGCGGTGCAGTGCGAAAAAACGAAAAAAAGCGACGACGACGGGACGCGAACCGGCGACCGCGGCTCCCACACGGCGACGGAGCTAGCGAAAACGACGCAGCTCCGAAACCGCGGACAAAAAGGCGAAAAACGGCAACTTACCAAACGTCATCCCGGACGGACACGGACGAGGCGCGGTCCCTGCGGTCCCGAGGGTGCCGTAGCTCTCGTTCGGGTCCGGTCTGCATATGCTTGCACATCGCATATGCTTGCAGATCGCATATGCTTGCACATTGCATAATATGCTTGCAGATCGCATCTGATTGCAGATCGCATATGCTTGCAGAGCGCATATGCTTGCAGAGCGCATATGCTTGCACATCGCATAATATGCTTGCAGATCGCATCTCATTGCAGATCGCATATGCTTGCAGATCGCATATGCTTGCACATCGCATATGCTTGCAGATCGCATACGCTTGCACATCCCATCTGCTTGCATACGCATTGACTTGCAGATCGCATATGCTTGCAGATCGCATATGCTTGCACATCGCATATGCTTGCACATCCCAATGCTTGCAGATCGCATATGCTTGCAGATCGCATATGCTTGCAGATCGCATTTGCTTGCAGATCGCATCTGTTTGCATACTGCATTGCTTGCATACCGCATATGCTTGCAGATCGCATATGCTTGCGGATCACATATGCTTGCAGAGCACATATGCTTGCACATCGCATATGCTTGCAGATCGCATATGCCTGCAGAGCGCATATGCTTGCACATCGCATATGCTTGCACATCGCATATGCTTGCAGATCGCATACGCTTGCACATCCCATATCCTTGCAGAGCGCATATGCTTGCAGCCAGCATACGCTTGCACATTGCATCTGCTTGCAGACCACATATGCTTGCAGATCACATATGCTTGCAGAGCGCATATGCTTGCACATCGCATATGCTTGCACATCGCATACGCTTGCAGATCCCATATGCTTGCAGAGCGCATACGCTTGCACATTGCATATGCTTGCAGATTGCATATGCTTGCATACTGCATATGCTTGCAGATCTCATAATGGCATATGCTTGCAGATCGCATAATGGCATATGCTTGCAGATCGCATAATGGCATATGCTTGCAGATCGCATGATGGCATATGCTTGCAGATCGCATAATGGGATATGCTTGCAGATCGCATAATGGCATATGCTTGCAGATGGCATGATGGCATATGCTTGCAGATCGCATAATGGCATATGCTTGTAGATCGCATATGCTTGCAGATCGCACATGCTTGCAGATCGCAGATGGCATATGCTTGCAGATCGCATATGCTTGCAGATCGCATATGCTTGCAGATCACAGATGGCATATGCTTGCAGATCGCATATGCTTGCAGATCGCATATGCTTGCAGATCGTATATGCTTACAGATCGCATATGCTTGCAGATCGCATATGCTTGCAGATCGCATATGCTTGCAGGTCGCATATGGCATATGCTCGCAGATCGCATATGGTATGTGCTTGCAGATCGCATATGGCATATGCTTGCAGATCGCATAATGGCATATGCTTGCAGATCGCATATGCTTGCAGATCGCATATGGCATATGCTTGCAGATCGTATAATGGCATATGCTTGCAGATCGCATAATGGCATATGCTTGCAGATCGCATAATGGCATATGCTTGCAGATGGCATGATGGCATATGCTTGCAGATCGCATAATGGCATATGCTTGTAGATCGCATATGCTTGCAGATCGCACATGCTTGCAGATCGCAGATGGCATATGCTTGCAGATCGCATATGCTTGCAGATCGCATATGCTTGCAGATCACAGATGGCATATGCTTGCAGATCGCATATGCTTGCAGATCGCATATGCTTGCAGATCGTATATGCTTACAGATCGCATATGCTTGCAGATCGCATATGCTTGCAGATCGCATATGCTTGCAGATCGCATATGCTTGCAGGTCGCATATGGCATATGCTCGCAGATCGCATATGGTATGTGCTTGCAGATCGCATATGGCATATGCTTGCAGATCGCATAATGGCATATGCTTGCAGATCGCATATGCTTGCAGATCGCATATGGCATATGCTTGCAGATCGTATAATGGCATATGCTTGCAGATCGCATAATGGCATATGCTTGCAGATGGCATGATGGCATATGCTTGCAGATCGCATAATGGCATATGCTTGCAGATGGCATGATGGCATATGCTTGCAGATCGCATAATGGCATATGCTTGCAGATCGCATAATGGCATATGCTTGCAGATCGCATAATGGCATATGCTTGTAGATCGCATATGCTTGCAGATCGCATATGCTTACAGATCGCATATGCTTGCAGATCGCATATGCTTGCAGATCGCATATGCTTGCAGATCGTATATGCTTACAGATCGCATATGCTTG